CGATAATGTGAAGGGTAATGCAAATAATTGTGAATGCGTCATTGAGGCGGTAAGCCTTGCGGCTGGCGGACAGGAGTTTGAGGTTTTCTATTACCCGCGTGCAAGCACGCCGGAGTTCGTGGTAAGGAGTCGGGCGGTAAGGGCAGCTATGGGGGTGAGGTGGTGTCCTGGGATGAGGTTTAAGATGGCGTTCGAGACGGAGGATTCGTCCCGTATAAGCTGGTTTATGGGGACAGTATCGTCTGCCCAGGTGGAGGACTCGGTTCGTTGGCCCAATTCACCTTGGAGACTTCTTCAGGTTTTTTTAACAACAAGGGGCCTTCATTTTCTTTTCAAGTTTCAATCTTTATTGTGTTTTATTCAATCCCACTTCATAGTTTGTGCTTGGCTACTGCAAAAAGCCAGATTACTTGTTCTTCTACAGGTTTTTGACAACAATGGCCTTCATTTTTCTTTTCAAGTTTCAATCTTTATTGTGTTTTGTTCAATCCCAGTTCATAGTTTTGTGCTTTGGTATAAACTGTCTAATTGTGAGACTCCAAAAAAAAAAAAAAAGAAATTCATTTGGGTAAAGAAACAGTGCATTTATATGCTGTATTGTTTAAAACTTGGTCAAATTATTAGTTAGATACAAGTTTTTGTTTAATGAGACTGAAAAGAATAGTGTAGTTATTTTTAAGCTCTTATTACATTTTGCATCCCTTGTTTTTTCTGATATTGAAGTTTTGGCCCAAAAACTCGATTCCAGGTGGCATGGGACGAACCCGATTTGCTGCAGAATGTGAAGCGGGTCAGCCCGTGGCTGGTCGAACTTGTATCGAATTTGCCTCCGAGCTTCCTCCCTCCCCTCTCGCCTCCGAAAAAACGGACCCGCCTAACCCATCCTTATGAATTCCCACTCAATACCCCCACACTATTCAATAGTAATCCCCTTAGTCCCAGTAGCCCTTTGTGCTGTTCAGACAACATTATTGCAGGTGTACAGGGAGCCAGGCATGCACGATCAGGACCGACCGATCTGAATCTGCAAATGAGACTTCAGCCGTTTGATTTCAAACTCCTCAGCTACGTGGGCCCACCGGAAAACAAAAAATTCACTAAAAATAATGATGATGTAATAAGGAAAACGCCGGGTGGGCTTGTTCTGTTCGGCCAGCCGATTCTCACCGAGGAACAAATTTGTAGAAGCTACACACACACAGAGGGGAATAGTTTTTCAGATGGCAATCAAGAGAATATGACAAATGGGTCCAACGAGTCTTGCTCGGGTTCGGCAAATATTCACCACTTTCTGGGCGAACCCTCCTCGGATGGAGAGAATGGAGGTGTCGTCGAGCAATGTCCTGTATAGTGATGCACAGGTACAACCAAGCACGAGGGAACGCGAAAAGGCTAACGATCCTTGCGGGTGCTGGGAAGTGTTAATCTTCACAAATGGAGATGGATGAAAAAAAAAAAA